TTGTGCGCGAACACCTAACCCCTAGACCACTGGACCGGCACCGAACGGCGTTAATGTCTAACTCTGATCGATCTACAGATTTGGCATGACCTCACCTATTTGTCCTTAGTAGTTGCTGTCTACACCCGACAGGGTTGAAATCCACTGGTCATGTCTTCTCACTAGAACTCCGAGAATTTCCTCATGGAGACGTCGGGCGTCCGCGCGCAAGACCAAAGGTTCCAGGTCCGAATCCTGCAGGGTGCAGGAGTCGTGGATGCGCACTGCTGATGAGTCCCATACCAGGACGAAACGGCCGTCCAGCGCTTCCAGGTTTCTAATGTTGGTCTAACAGTTATTGATCGATGATCTCAAATATGTGAAGACAATAACCTCCATAACTCTAATTGAAAAATAATAATGTATATTTTTTCTTACCCAATGGCGTTTTCTTCGTAAAAGTATAGTCACTACAACACAATGAGATGTGTCTTGGAAAAAAATAACTTATTCATAGTTACTAAGGAACAAATAGAGTTAGATAAGTTGAAAAGCATCGTTAATGCTAAAATTAATGAGCATAGTATTACGACTTTACTGTAATTCATTTCTATTGTCTGTTTCATCCTTCCCATTGATGTTTACTATTGCAATTGCACAGTCTCTTTAAAACATATGCATCTTTTACAGATTGCCTCGATAGATATTTCCAATTACAATTACAAACATGATTAGGACGGAAATCACCTTCTTGATTCCATTGCTAGCCACCATTCATTACCCGCTATTCATATCTTAGGTGTAGTTTCATGAGATCCTGTACACGTGCATGATGATGATTAGGGAGTTTTTGAGGTCGTGAAGATAAAGGGGATGTTAGGGGGTGTAGGAAGGATTTGATTGTGACCGATTCGATCTCGTCTGCCGGTACGGGTATGAGCGTGGATGTCGATTCCCAGCTGCCCACAACGTGGAAGGGTGTTTCTTGTAGAACCTGAAAAGGAAGGTAGATTAGTGTTGGTCTTAGAGACCTCGAAGCGTGACCACAGAGCACAAGGGATAACTGCTTGAGGCCGGTCAACCACGGTCTTTCTATAAGAAGTTTCTGAAGTGTTAGCTGTACTCCTGTTTGAAAGGCCTTACTGCCGGAGACGGAAATCCGTGAGGGTCGACCTTCTGTTATGAAAAGGCAGCATCGTTCCAGATGTTGGTAGTCCGAGGGAAATACCTTACTGCTGTCACACTCCTCTACAGTCAGCAGTATGACTTCACCCTCAGACCTTGAGTAGCTGCTTTTAGTCTCATCGTTCTCCAATCGACCTGCCTGATAAGGTAACAGTTACGTTCGAGAGCTTCCAAATTAGAATTAGACGTTTATTTCAATACTACTACTGTAGTGAAGGAGAACACAGATGAGGGCAACCAAATTGTATTTAACGAGAATTACAGAGTTACTCAGTAAAATAGGAAAACCATATCGTAAATCGTTCATTTGCAAATCTTCAATCCATCATCATCTCCATTGTCTGACATTTCACCATTCATGCGTTTCATACAAATTCCATTGTGTTCTAACTCTTCCTTTCTCTTGATCTTCCCCCATCTTCTTCTGCCAGACATTACGTTTACACCCACGTCATATACTACTTATAAGTAGCTCACACCACACTACTACTACCTTGTTTTTTTTCCCTGCAGTAGTTCTCGAATTATCGACCCGTGTTAATGACTACTTTTGTTTGTATCAGAATCAGAAGATCAATATAAACGTTCAATGTGTTCAATTCACTAATGCCTCATATTGATCATGGTTACATCATTAGTTGTTTAGTCAAATTATTGTTCATGTTGATTAAAGTAATGAGTCTATTGTTATATAGTAGTATATATACAGACTAATGAAATGAAGCATTATTTTCTTTAAATTATAGCATAAACAAACTTCTAATGAACTAAGGCTTGTTTTCAATCTTTTACTATCACGTTTGTCTGAGAATTTGACATTTTTTTTCTCATGTAAACGGACTAAATGTCTGTGAATATATATATATATTTTTTTTTTTTGAGATGCATTCAGTAATGTATAACAAGATTGTGAAAATAAGATATGCAAACTTAAAGATATGCTATGTTGTTGATTTACAAAAATTTGTTTTTATGTTATTGTTTAACAAATCAATGACAAGACTATGTTACTCTATGTACTTTAGAAGTAAAACATCACAACTAAATGGCAAAAATAAAGTGGAGATATTTCAAAGGAGGGAGAGGAATGAGGAATATCATATGTCAGTAGTACTCATATGGGGTCTGATAGTCAAATGGTGTGAAGCATGCACGTAAACATGTCATTGGATAGGCTTGAACTGTTACGAGTTTACCTTAGTTGGAAAACGAGAGTGAGGATTGAGGATCCGGTGACATGACAGGCTACTTTAATCCAAGCGTCCCAAACCCTCATTGGGTAAAAGAAGAAGACTTGATATGAAGTAGGACATGTATTCTACAAGCATCTAGAAAGTACGAGGTCCGAGTCCAGAAGAGAATCAGGATCCTGTACTAAAGGTCCGGGTCCTGGTCATAAAACGTTACAGATAATGCATATTTATACATTTAGGTCGAATAGGAGACAACATTGAAGTCTATGATATTGACAGTTAGGACGGCTAATACGAACCGACATCTGAAGTGACCGGGATAGCTAGGATGACCATAATATTGACCACTAGGAATCGACTAATAGAATTTGAGTTACAAAAATAATTCTATTAGGACAATTGATGAATATCCTAACAAAGGATATGTACGAAATTACAAATGTGACCGTCTGTTGGATGGGCTTGTTTATACACGAACTCAATGTCTCAGCTTACACGTTCGTATCTAAGTTAAAAGAACGAGATATGATTAATTTATTACTTCAATTGTTATCCGTAAGGAATGTCTACTTTCTCCGTTCTTGTTTCATTGGTCATAGACATGCTCTTAGATATAAAATTATATTCGTCTGAATTATCAGGAGTGAACGTTCTACCAGGTGATTCACTGATTGGCATAGAATATGTCGATGACATAGTTCTACTTTGTGAAGACGCTGACAAAATGCAGAGTCTTTTGACTACCCTAAGCAACAATGCAAGCATGTTCGGGATGCGAATCTCCCCCTCGAAATGCAAAATGTTGCTTCTGAATAGACTTGCATCGGCATCTCAACTAGTGATGGGGAGTGAAGCAGTTGAGCGCGTCGACCACTCCACTTATCTTGGTAATCTCATCAGGTCTGGTGACTGATGAAATCTCAGCGCGGATACAGAATGCTTGACTTGCTTTCGCTAACTTGCATCACTTATGGTGTAGGTGAGATATCTGTTTGCTAACCAAAGGACAACTGTTCTGCGCAGCAGTTCACTCTATCCTTCCTTATGGATGCGAAACATGGCCAGTAATACGCGAGGATATTCGTAGGCTACTTGTATTCAGTCAAAAGTATATTCGAAGCATTGCTCGTGTATTCTGGGACCACCAAGTAAGCAATACTGTTGTTAAGAAAACGGTATTTGGCAAGGATGGAAGGTCACTAGATGAAGTATGGACTTTTCATCAATGAGGTGGTTGGGACATATGTTGCGTATGCCTAACTATCGAATCCCTCGATGAGCGATGTTGTATGATGTAAGAGTAGGTTGGAAGAAACCTAGGGTCGGACAAACCGAAACACGATACAAATTCATGAAGTCACTGACAACTGAACTGAGTCATGTTGGTAGGTGCAGGCTACCTGGTTGGGGTCCGCGAGACGAAGGTCACCGATGGTTAGAGACCTTGAATGGCATGGGTCAATTTTGTTTGCAATGGCGCTGGTGCATCCACTGTTTTGTTCTCTCGAATTCTAGTCTTCTGAATTCCTCATCAGCTTTATCTTTCTCTTTGTAAATTTGTTTCACTGAATTATACTTCTCGAATCGTTACCTTCGAACTCTAATCTTTTTCATTAGAGCTGACACTTCTACTATCTGTACCACTGTTATGCTCGTCAATTGGTATGCTTAGTCGGTAAACGAGAGAGAAGACGAATGATCCATTGGCACGATAGGCTGCTCTAATCCGAGCGTCCCAAGGCCCCACTAACTAGAGGAAGAAGTTTTGATATGGTGCAGAAAGTGTATTCCACAAGCACACAAATGGAGTTTATTTATACATCATAGAAACGTCTTTGGGAGAGCCACAAAAATAGTGTATTAATATAATACGCCAACCAATAACAGTCAAGGGTTTTCCTGGTGGGAAATGTATTACGCATGAACGTAAACATGTCATTTTGATATGCTTGAGTTATCACGAGTTTACCTTAGTCGGAAAACGAGAGAGAGGAACGAGGGTCCAGTGACACGATATGCTAATCTAATTCGAGTGTCCCAACCCCCATTGAATGAAAGAAGAATACTTGATATGAAGTAGGACATGTATTCTACAAGTATCCAGAAATTACGACGTCCGAGTCCAGAAGAGAATCAGGATCCCAGACTAGGGATCCGAGTCCGGCTCCGGTTCATAAAACGTTATACAATTAGGTCTAATAGGAAACAACATTGAAGTCCGTGATATTGATACCTAGTACGACCATAATATTGACTAATAATTCTTTTAGGATATTGAATGAATATCCTAACAAAATGTAATCTCAAGGTCAACTGACCAGCCCCTACGCGCGCGACAACATAAAATCCAAAATTAGAACTTTTATCAAGTGAGTCCTGGGAATCTAATAACAACTATGAGATTTGAACTGACAATTGCATCTCTATGCTAATGTATTATGACAACCTGACCTTAAGTATGTACGTACAAAGTCCTACGTTCTAACTGACTGACTGCGTGACTGATTACTATGCACGTTGAATCTCCTCTGTCTTATCATGGAAATCCTCAGTAGTATCGTCATACAAAGAGACGTTACAACCGATACAATTCATAAAACAAACCATAATTCATTATTTTTGAAAGGAATAAACTGTTTTTTTCTTGTTTTAATTGAAACATCAAAAATTTACAATCAAAATTTCAATATACACATGTATATCTATCTATATATATATATATATATATATTGAACATTGATCAGTTTTTTAGTTAAATAAATCGATAAACCAACAAACAAACCATTGAAAAATCTAGTAAGATAAACAAAAACAACACACATATCTATATACTCAAATAATCAAATCAAATTCACAATCCCGAATAATAATTATTCTTCAGAACCACCACTAATCTCGGACAGATTATCATTTGGATCTACACCATAAGATTGTAATTCTTCTTTATCTGGTTTAATATTTTTACCATTGAACAGTGCTTTAATTTTAGTTTGTTTTAATGTTCTATTCATACAATCCATAATATTTGTATGTGGCATATGTATATACAAGCCTAAATTATCATAATTCAATATGAAATGACTTTGATATGATTGTTTTTGTTCAATTAATACTTTCAATGGTTCAATACATTGTTGAATGTATTCACGTGTACCACGTGGATCATGAGATTCCGATGATGATGTAGATGGTGGTTGCCAAAATTTCAATTGATTCTCTGAAATATTAGTTTTATTCAATTTGATTTCATCTAATAACCAATTGACTGTTTCACTAGTGAACATCTCGTTAAATGTTCGTTGGATTTTTTCTTTACGTACTAATTTAACTTTTTTCACTGTATTCGGATCAATAAATACTTTGATTGCTTTCCATATACCATGAAAAAATGTACTATGATTAATTAGAATAAATTTATACAATGTTTCTGGATAACAATCAGCAAATGTTTGTACAAATTTTTTACCAATTTTTGGATTACAACATGCTACAGTTAATCCTGTATTGTTTGAGAAAATGAAAAATACAAAAAAATGTTATGAGAGATTGCGGTGTGGACAGAAAAAAATGTGTAGTAGGCTTAAGAGAGGAGTGGATAATGATTGTGGCTGTAGTGTGGTGCGCGCTACTTATAAGTAGTATATGACGCGAGTGTAAACGTAATGTCTGGTGGCAGAAGATGGGGGAAGATCAAGAGAAACGAAGAGTGGGAACATAATAGAATTTGTATCAAACGCATGAATAAATGAAATGTCAGACAATGGATTGATGATTGATTGAAGATTTGCAAATTAACGATTTACGATAACGTTTTCCTATTTTACTGAGTAACTCTGTAATTTTCGTTAAATACGATTCGGTTGCCCTCACCTGTGTTCTCCTTCACTACAGTAGGATTGAATTCGTCCTACAGATGTACTTAACTACTAGAACCGTAAATGTGATACCGGCCAGCATAGAGCATTATGGGTAATCCGCAGTCAGAATAAGGACAACATGGTTTGAGACTTGATCTGTTTTGAGCAATATGGCGTGTCTTATCGAAAAATCAATAAAATTATGAGTCATATTAATATAATAGGAGGAGAATAATGTCTTTCAATTGGTAGGTCACATTCAATAGAGAGATAGTTTACAGACACATCAGAGCAGATCACGTGATGAACGCTAAAATCACGATTTGATTGGTTAGTTATGTGGATAGTGGTGGAGTTTTGTTCTCTGACTTTGGATGATGATTGGAGTTGTGAAGGTTTCATCATTGTTCTTTTTCTTCTTCTTCTGCTGAACAACACTATCATCATCAGTACAAACTTCAGGTAGATAGAAGTGAAGAGTATTCGAGTTTCGCCACGTATGACTCGAAGCTTGTTCTGTCAGGCTCGATCTTGATTGGTTGTTATTGACCCTTAAAAACCTGTCGTTGTCTATATCTTTATTTTGATTGTATGCCCCTTTTGACTTGTTTCTTGATCCTATGATGTTAGGATCACGATCGAGGTAAACAAAATAAACTACAAGTCATTTAAGGAGAAATTCGAATCCTTCACTTCTATCTACCTGAAGTTTGTGCTGCTGAGGTGGTAGTAGAAGTATTCGCAATAATCTGAGAGATTAAGGTTTATAGATACTATACAAGTAATATGAACTAGTGAAATAAGTTCGCAGAAAAAAAGTTGAAGGTGATAAGGAATTAAGAAGTTTAGAGTTTGAGGGGACACAAAAAATGGATTCATCTGCACCAGTACAAACGATTTCGAGTCATGTTATTCAGCGTCTCTAACCATCGGTCACTATTGTCTAAAGGAGCTCAACCACGTAGTCTACACCTACCGCCATGGCTTAGTTCAATATATGGGCTCAACATATTAATAGTACACACTCTACTTTCATATTTCCATAAGTTTTATGGATGAGATATATTGTGAAATCCAGGACACACATGTCATCCTTTCCGAGACTCGTCAGCTGGATGCATACACCTACACTATGGCATTGATTTTCACGATGAAATTCGAACCCAGGACCCTTCACTTCAAACACTCAGTGCGCTACCTATTAAGCTCATTAATTTCGATAGACATTAACTTATGTTTGCGTCATTCTTCTTACACATGTAAAGTGTATTAATTAAAAAAAACAAACCAAGTTAATACATCACCTTACCTGTACAATCAATAATAAATACTAATGTATTCACTGAAGTTCGTACACTTCGTCTTGCATGTTCAATTAAATAAACCATATGACATATAACATCATCTGGATTATTTTTCAATGTTTGACATTGAGCAAAACATGCATACATCAGCGGTCGACCTTCACGATCGAAACCCACTTGTCGCTGATTAAAACAACAATGATAATAGTAAACAAGAAAGGAAAAGTAATTGGTTATGTGATGTGATCGATAAAAAAAAATTTATTAGGTCGTAATTTTATTTCCATGAATTAAATTGTTAATAAGTCATGAATCGATCAATGTTAGACCAACACCATTAGAAACCTGGAAGCACCGAAAGACGGCTGTTTCGTCATGGTATGGGACTCCTCAGCAGTGCGCATGCACGACTCCTGCACCCCGCAGGGTTCGAACCAAGGGCCTTCGGTAGTGTGCGCGAGCTCCTAACCATCGGACCACTGAGTCGGTATCTAACGATGTTAATGTATAACTTGATCAATTCACGGAGTTGCGTGACCTCATACACACAGTCTTCGGTAGTTACTGTCTATACCCGAATAGGTTGAACTTCAACTGGTTACGACTTCCCACTAGAACTCGGAAAAGATTCCTCACGAAGCTGGTGACTAGTGAGCACAGGTAATTTGCATTACAGGGTTTTGAAGATTGTTAAGTTACACATTTTTGAAACCATGAATCGATCAATGTTAGACCAATACCATTAGAAACCTGGAAGCACTGGACGGCTGTTTCGTCCTGGTATGGGACTCCTCAGCAGTGCGCATCCACGACTCCTGCACCCCGCTGAGGAGTCCCATACCAGGACGAAACGGCCGTCTTTCAGTGCTTCCAGGTTTCCAATGGTGTTGGTCTAACATTGATCGATTCATGGTTTCAAAAATGTGTAACTTAACAATCTTCACAACCCCGTCACGCAAATAAGTCAATTCACAGTGAACTTCATTTCAATCGATATTTCTCTACTGACCTACTATTTTGTTATCTGATTAATTTGTTCTCACGTTTTCAGTTCGTTATTTCTGTTAAATATAGACACTTTTACTTACTTGTTACTAACTTCCTTGCGCCTGTTATCTATCCCTAATAGAACTTTGGCCGCCAACCAGTATTCTCCAACCTACTCTGCCCTGGGCCTTCCTTTATAGTTTTGTCCAATCGTTTTCCGTTTTTCTCATATCTCTCTCCATTTCTCGGTGCAGTGTGTTCCTTGAGCTACCAATTTTACCTTGACCTTGAGGGTTATAATTGAGCGCTTAGCTTATGACACAGCTGGATGCTTTCCACAATATGTGTCCTTTTTAATTCGAGCGAGTCTACCTGATTTCTTCCTCCACTGGAATCTGGTTTATTCTTTCCCACAGTAGATTGTTGCTGGTGGTTTCTGGTCAACGGATCCGAAGCATTTTGCTTAGACAACTGTAAATAAACTATTGTATCTCTTGGATGTTGGCTATCGTATTTCTCCACGTTTCCGCCTCATACAGTAGAACTGTCTTGACAGTTGTATTGAAAATTCTGACTTTGGTGTTGGTTGATTGTCGTTTTAAGTTGTAGACGTTCTTCAATCGTAGAAATGCAGCCCTTGCATTCTTTGCCTATCCGTGCCTTCAGATCTTCATTAGATCCACCTTACTTATCAATTATGCTTTCCAGACATGTAAAGCTTTTACATACTCCGATTCTCGTCATAATGTGTGTCCTGTGGTCTTCCTCTTTTCTTTTGGCCTTGAAGATTCCAAGTGAGGACTTGCCTTGTGATGAACTTGTGTGCTTTCCTCATGGTGGGTCCTATCCACCTCCAGTGCTTCTTCCTTATTTCCTCCTCTTCTGGAATCTGGTTTGTTCTATCCCAAAGTAGGTTTTTTGCTGATAGTATCGGGCCAGCGGGTTCGAAGTACTTTGCGTAGACAGTTGTTAATAGTCACTTTTATCTTTTGGATAACAGCTTTCGTAGTTCTCCAAGTTTCCGCCCCATACAGTAGAACTTTCTTGATATTTGGTGGAAATACTGTCATTGCTTTGTCGATACGTGCCTTCACGTCTGCGTCAGATCCACCTCTCTCATCAATGGGACTGCCTAGATATGTAAAGGTTTTTACATTCTCCAAAGCTTCTCTGTCAAGCATGATTCGGTTGGTGCATGTTGTGTTGTATCGAAGCATCTTACTTCCTCCCTTGTGTATGTTGAGGTGTACTGCTATTAAGGCTGCCGCTACACTGAATTGCATTTGTTGTTGCATGTGTGACAGGAGGGCTAGATCATCTGCAAAGTCTAAGTTGTGCACTGTATCCGGCGTTTCCCCTCAGATGTTGACATCTCCAGTCAATCCAGTCGATCACAAGGAGAAACAGAAAAATTAACAGCAAGTAACCTTGCCTGACATCGGTCTTCACCTCGAACGAGTCTATCAGCTGTCCTCCGAGCACGAATTCGCAGTTTAATTCATCATAAGAATTTCGTATGATGTTGACTATCTTCTCAGACACACTGCAGTGTTGAAGAAGCCTTCAAAATGTTTTATTGATAGAGTTGATTATGCCCAAATTCTCTTTTGTTATTGTTTGAAGTAATTTTTACGTCTTGTAGTGTAACGAGTTAGTGTAGATCCTATTTCCTATTAGAAGATTCTCTATATTGTTTGCGATTTGGAATAAACACATGGTATCCATGATTTGTCAGCAGTAAGGATAAACATAACCAACCGATATGATCGTCATTGTTAGACGATCAAAAGTAGTGGTATCTCATTTGGAACTAACTTCGTGCGGTTAGATATACATGATTGTCAATCTCCAAGCTGAGATTTGAACTCGGCACTTAACAATTTAAAAGAGTAAGGGACAATTCAGTAAGCTATTGAATTCAGACAGCTGACAACTTGTTCACTGGATGAATGATTTATATCTTAAGTAAATGTTAGTCTTAGTAATATTCCATATTTTAAGTTGGATAATTCAAAATCAATTATTTTGTTGACATTCTGGACTGAATCATTGATCAAAAGTTTGACATGAACACCGTTGGATGTCGGCCAGATCAGTGGTCTAGAGGTTTGGTGTTTGCGCGACAGACCAAAGGAATGTATTGGGTTGGATTCCTGCTAGTAGCGTTGGTTGTGAATGCACAGTATTGATGAGGACCATACCAGAACGAAACTGTTGTCCAGTGCTTCTAGGTTTCTAATGGCGGTCTAACAATGATTGATTCACGATTAAAATGCAAAATCATTAACACCAACTCAATTAATTTGTCTTATCTACTCTTACATGTGTTACGTATGCCTAACCACCGACTGCCTCGTTGAGCTATGCTTTGCAAAGTAGGGATAGGTTAGAAGAAAGCTAGGGTTGGCCAGACCAACACATGGCAGAAATCTATGAAGTCACTAATAAGTGGACTGAGTCATATTGGTATATGCTGGCAACTACCTGGTTGGGGCTTACGAGATGATAGTAGTTGATAGTTAGGCACCCTCAACAAAATGGCTCAAAATCGTTTGTAGTGGTGCAGGTACGTTCATTCTTTACGTACTCTTAAAGCCTAACCATCCGAGTTTCTTCGTAAGTTTATTTCACCAGATTCTACTACTTGAATAATATCTTCTAATCCTAATCTCTCTGATTACTGCTAATACTTTTACTACCTCGACTACTACGGAATTTAAACTGACAATTTCATCTGTACTATGGCAAACTGGACTGATGTACGTACAAAGTTCCACGTCATTGTTGACTGACTGACTCTGATGTGAACAATAATGATGATGATGATGACGATGACAATGATAACAATGAATAACTTACAACTGAATGAAATCCTGGTGTTTCATGACACCATTTACATTGAATTTTTAATGGTTGATATTCACGACGCCATTCTACAGCTGTTTTCAGTTGTTTAAAAGCATCTTCAACAACATAATTTCTTGCTACTAAGAAACGATTCAGTCTACAATTGATAGAGGGAAAGAGAAAATTATTATGAAATTAGATGAACAAAGTTGATGATTACATTTTTTTCTAAATTGATAGAGTGTTTATTATATTTGGGATAATATTATCAGGAGAAGAAGACAAGTTCAGATAGAATACAAATTGTTGATGAAATATGTATTTACTTACTTACTGTTAGGATATTCATCCAATATCCTAAGAGAATTACTGGTCACTTCCTATTGGTTAATTCCTACTGGTCAATTTTATGATCGTTCTAGATATCACTGTCACGTGCTCTAATGTTGTTTCTTATTGGTTGTCCTGACTTCACTTCAAATGTTGCTTCCTATTGGTCGTCTTAACTGTCAATGTCACAGACTTCAATGCCGTTTCCTATTCAACCAAAATGTATAAATACGCATTATCTGTAACGTTTTATGACCAGGACTTGGTCCCGGATCCCTAATCCGGTATCCTGATTCTCTTCTAGACTCGGACCTCGTACTTCCTGGATGCTTGTAGAATACAGGCCCAACTTTATATCAAGTCTTCTTATTTTTACTCACTATGGGAGCTGGGGTAATCGGATTTGAGTAGCATGTCGTGTCGCCGGATCCTCGATCCTCGCTATCGTTTTCTGACTAGGTAAACTCGTAATAGTTCAAGTATATCAAGTTGACGTGTTGACGTGCAGACGTAACACTTACTTACTTATGCCTATTATCCCCATTCACGCATATGCAGGTGACCAGTATTCTCCAATCTACTCTGTCTTAGGCTCACCTTTCCAGTTCTAACCAATTACAGTTCATTCTTTTAAAATCTCATTCCGATTCTCATCGTAATGTGTTCTTTGGTCTTCCGCTTTTCTTTTGACCTTGAAGATTCTAAGTGAGGGCTTATCTTGTGATACAGTTTTATGCTTTCCTCAATCTGTGTCCTATTCAGCGCTTCTTGTCAATTTCTTACTCCAATGGAATCTGGTTTGTTCTCTCCCACAGTAAGTTGTTACTAATGATGTCTGGTCAATGAATCCTTAATAACTTGGCGTAGTACAACAATTAGTAAATACTTATATCTTACGGATGATGACCTTAGTGGTTCATTTCATTGCATGAAATATGTACACCTATTCAATACCTTAAGTTTTACAATTGTAGATAGTTATATACTGTTCTCGTTCAGTTCTTTCCGTTCTCTAAAGTATTCCAAGTTCGTTGTGCTCTTGACCGAATAAACTTATTGTCTTCCATTGTAGCGACTGTAACAACTTACTGGTAATGCCTTACTGCATACTACTCATAAGTAATCTTGAGAATAGCGTGCTCCTACAAAATGATACTAGTTCTCACCTCGTAAATGATTTGATCAAAAAATATTAGCCCAATAAAAGACTGATTATAACCCACAGTGATTGTGTCTGTCACAAATCTAATCACTACTGAGCACATTGTACGATTTTTCAATTAGATTTATGGAGATCATGTTACGCCTGTACGTAAACACGTCAACTTGATATACTTGAACTATTACGAGTTTACCTAGTCGGAAAACGAAAGCGAGGATCGAGGATCCGGCGACACAACATGCTACTCACATTCGATTATCCCAACCCCCATATTGAGTGAAAGAAGACAAGACTTGATATGAAGTAGAACCTGTATTCTGCAAGCATCCAGAAGTGCGAGGTCCGAGTCTTGAAGAGAATCAGGATCCCGGACTAGGGATCCGGGACTGGGTCCTAGTAGTGGTAGTGGTCATAAAACTTTTCAGATAATGCGTATTTATACATTTTGGTCGAATAGGAAACAGCATCGAAGTCTGTGACATTGGCAGTTAAGACGACCAACTGGAAGTAACATTTGGAGTGACAATGATAGTTAGGACAACCAATAAGAAACAAAATTTGATCACGTGACACTGATATCTAGGACGACCATAAAATTGACCAGTAGGAATTAACCAATAGGAATTGACCAATAATTCTTTTAATATATTGGATGAGTATCCTAACAGATCATTGTTTTTACACATCGAAATTATGAATCAATCATAATGAAATAATGTTTTAGACAAACAGTACTGGGTTCGAATCTAGGGGTGAACATAAATTCTGGGATGTAAGTACATCCAGCTAACGAGATTTAAATAGTACAAAACAAGTGATCTATGCTACTTACTCAGCCAGATACCATCCATCTCTGTCTGATAATTTAAACAATATGATGAAGGTGTCTATTACAACTGATGTGGTTACAGGGTTGAGTATAACTGATAGTTAAAATTCGTATAAATAATTTCAGTAAGAAAAGATTATTACAGCATTAAATGAATGAACCAAACGTGTTTCCCTTTACTATTCAACACAAAATGGAAAGTAATAATTTATTGCGGTGGAGTTTCGTTCTCTAAGCTGGATAATGGTTCGGTTGTGAAGCTTTCATCATTGTTCTTCAGGTAGAAGAAGTAAACCATTCGAAATTCTCTACTCATGACCCTGTAGCTTGTCCTGTTAACCTCAATTCTGATTGCTTGTTAGTTACCTGTAAAACTTGTCGTTGTTTGTAGCAACACTGGTAGTTGAAAGCTCCACAACCAAAACAACATCCAGCTCAGAGAACAAAACTCCACCACAATAATCATTCATCCTCATCTCAAAGTATAAATTTAAGTACAAAATACAAACTTACGTATCATCACATGTTGCAAAATCAGCTTCATTTGGTAAAGGAGTCAGATTATGCTTAGCTAATTGATAAAGTTCTGTTTTAAGATTTGCGATTTGTTCTGGTGTCAATTCGCTTTTTGAAGATTTTCGTCCAGATGACGATTTGGACGAACTCTTTTTACTCATTATTTATTTAATGGGTATCGGTAATTTCACTGATCAAATTGTAATTTTCTTGAAAGTTTAATTCACTGATTGAATTTGGTAGATAAAACTTCGATGTTGTGTATATAGAAAGCAACTTAAACGTAGTTGAAATCTATAACAGAAAATAAAAATTTTTAAGTGTGATTATGTAAATGGTTGTTGATTTGTTATTCGAAAAACTAATTTAATGCGTCAATACATCAATAGTGTTTGTCAGAGCCACTTCTACAGTTAGCGAAACAAACGATGAGTAGTAATGTTAATTGATTCTCAAAAACAAGGTTTTTTCCAAAATTCCATAAAATTTTAATTTAAATTTTGCGCTACTTATAAGTAGTAACAATTCTATCACTAAATATTATTGGATTGCCTTGCAAATCTGATATTACATATAAATTAATCAACCACGAGGTATATCACATTCCATAATAGAATTTCAGCATTTAGAATCCTGTGAGATTGGTGTGCTATTTCAAGAGTACATATTTTTGAAATTATTCTGCATCATTACGTTGAAAAATAATTTCACTTAGAATTATGGAGATTAGTGTTTTTACTCATTGAAATCACCAATCACTTACTGTTAGATCACCATTAGAAACCTGGAAGCACTACCGGACGGCCATTTCGTCTTGATATGGAACTCATTGTAAAATGTGCTCACTTTTGATTAGCAGTTCTAGTCAGAAGACTTCACCAGTAGAGTTCAACCCTGTCGGGAATAAACAGTAATTCTTAAAGATAAATGGGTGAGGTCGCGCAATATCCCTAAATTGATCGGAGTTACACATTAACATCGTTGGATGCCGGTCCAGTAGTTAAGTGGTTAGACGTTCACGCGCAAGACCGAATATCCTGGGTTCGAATCCTATGAGTAGCAGGAATCGTGGATGCGCACTGCTGATGAGTCTCAGACCAGGATGAAACGGCCGTCTTTCAGTGCTTCCAGATTTCTTATGGCGGTCTAACAATGACTGATTGATGATTTCAATGTGCAATCATAAAATGTCTAAATAATGGTTGGGTCCAGTCAAACTACCAATCGAGAGTTATAGCCTTAAGGACATATCTTCACTCCCTAATCTTCTCCATTAATGCAAATACTTCTACTATTGCTATCACTCTTGGATTTGAACTGACAGTGGCGTCTCTGTGCTGATGTGGTATGGCAATCTGAACTGATGTACTTACGTAGGAAGTTCTGCGTTGAATCTGTCCGTCTGTTTATAGCCTTAAGGAACATCTAATCTACATAAACAGTAGATGTAGGAATAATCACCCGTAAGACTAGTAGTCTATAGGAGCTTCCCCTAAGCTTCATATATGTTATTTTCATACCAGAGATTTTTTTTCGAAATCCTAATCTCTCAGTTAAATCATTTGATAATGTACACTTTCTGAGACTAACGGTTTGATAAATGCTCTGTCAAACTTACAAGGATTTATCATTTAAAATATGTTTTAATCAAAATGCAAAATCTCTGTTTAAATTCAATTGGATTTTTTAAAAATCAATAAAATTCGGCAATAACAAACTTTTTTTGCCTCATCTTTTCAAAAATATTATTTCCTTGTAACCCTATCCATTTCATATACACTCTTGATGCTAATCACATATGCTTAAGTGATGAGTATGGTGTGTTCGTGTCGCTTCCGGTTTAAACATTTGACAAACAATCATACTTTGTGAATTAGTTAGTTAGACTATGAATTCAAGTTTGTTATTTCACATAAATACTGTTTGCTATAAATTTTTTTTCAAGCAATCGGAAGTTAAATAAAGAGAGACAGCAATTCTGTCTACTATTAATAATTCATTAGTAAGTTACTTTCAACTCAGTTCATTTAGGATGTACTGACATCAGGCAAGTTTGAAGAATGAAACAGTCATTTCTTGTTAATAGTTAAAATGAATAGAATCTAAAGTTTGTCAGTTGATACATTGTAACTGACTGGTGCTTATATTATCGTGATTGTTTAAAGACTTAATGAACGGAGGATTATCAGCTTCGGTTTACTTGATTATTTTTAAAATAAATTATTGTAGTAACCATAAAATGACGAACTTTATGATTCCGACATATCGACATTTTAAACTTTGACGTTGGTCAGTAAGCTGGTAATAATTCTCAGCGAAAACTAATCACAAAACTGTACTCATCACAACAATCAATCAATGGTAACGTAAAACTACGTACGTACATACATACATCAGTTCAAGTTGTCATACCACATTAGCACATAAGTTCCACAGTCAATTCAAGTCCCATAAGAGTAGAGGTAGTAAAAGTATTGGCAGTAATCGGAAAGATCACACGGTTCGACGATATTATTCAAGACATACAGTCTAACGAAATAAACTTAAAAATAGAAAGATAAAGGTGATGAGGAATCCAGAAAATTAGGATTTGAGAGAAACCAAAGAATGAATGCACCTACGCCATTACAAATGGTTTTGATCCATGTCATTCAGGGTCTCTAACCATCGATTACTAACATCTCGTGGACCCCAACCAGGTAGTCGATACCTAACGACATGGCTCAGTCCAATTGTCAGTGACTTCATGGATTTCTGCCATGTTTTGGTCTGGCCTACACCACAAAACAGCTTGTCAAGGCAGTCAGTGGTTAGGCATACTTAACACATATCCCAACAACCTCAACTAGTGAGGTTGATCTGCCATACTTGCTAAGCACCCGTTTCCTAACAACTATATTGCTTACTCCATTGTCCCATGATACACAAACAATGCTTCGGAGACACCTACGAATATCTTCTACTTTTATCTGCCATGTTTCACAGCCATTAAGTAACACGGAGCGAACTATAGCGCAATACACTTATCCTTTAGTCTGCAAACAGGTGTCTCGCCTACGCCATAAGTCACACTGCTACTACTACTACTACTACTACTACTACTACTACTACTACTACTCCGACTACTACTACTACTACTACTCCGACTACTACTACTACTACCACTACTACTACTATTACTACTACTACTACTACTACTACTACTACTACTACTACTACTACTACTACTACTACTACTATTACTACTACTACTACTGCTACTACTTCTACTACTACTACTGCTACTACTTCTACTACTACTACTACTACTACTACTACTACTACTCAAAATACTACTACTACTACTACTACTACTACTACTACTACTACTACTACTACTCCAACTACTACTACTACTACTGCTACTACTTCTACTACTATTACTACTACTACTACTCAAAATACTACTACTACTACTACTACTACTACTACTACTACTACTACTACTACTACTACAGTGAATTAACGAAACAAGTCTATAACCTATGAAGAAACAGTTACAAGTTAATCATTCTTTTTAAACTAATAAACCATGGCTACATAGAGTGTCATAGAAGTAATCAGATATATGACTACTAATCATTCTCAACCACTTCAATCATGATTTACACACATCAAACGCCTAATTCTTTCATCGTTTTTTTATAAATCAACCGATTCGCATCACAAAATAGTCACAACCTTTTAACACGAAAAATTTTCTTCTGTCTATATAGAAACTATCCAACTATTTTTTATCAAGTATATAGTTTCATTAGAGAGTCAGTCTGTCAGTCAAGTGTATTTTACTCATAAAAATCTATGAAATTATCAATAATCAGTGAATATATAACAATGTCAACTTGTAAATGACGTGTTTCATTCAAACAAACTTTTTACATCGAGAGAAAAAATCTAAAATAAAATTTAAAATGATTCAGTTAAAAAAGACGGACATCTTATTGTTAGGGTGATCAAAAACCTGCAGTTTCTATTATAAAACACTGTTGAAAGCGTGACAGTAATGCATAGCTGTCTTGGTCGAGTGTGGAACTCTTCGGTAGTGCGCATTAAGGACTTAACATCAGTGGACCGAACCGAGGACCTTCATTCTCTAGAGACCTAACAGCATTAGTGTTTATCTCCAATCAACCACCGTAACGGAGTCAAAATCACCATGTATGATGTTGCTAACCGGTTCTGTTTTCTTTCTATTTCAGGGCAACCAAACATAAACGTTTTGGAAGCTGAAGAACAAGCCCTGAGTGCTCTGAACTTATGGGATGACTCATAAGACTTTGGTACACTAACCACCCTTTTTCTGTAAAAATAAAAGAGTGCCATCGCCGTACTTCGTGTTCTCTCTTAGTGTGAAGTGTTAAGCTAACTCTGTGTTGCAATGTTAGATCTGATCCGCTGTTCGGTGACTGCTGATAACACGTGTTACACTATTGAGGGACCATTTTCTACTGCCTGGGATGGCTGAACTTTACTAACTTAGGCTTCTCACTGGAACGCTAGGAATCATATACTCAAGTTATTTATTAGTGAGTAAACCGTTCAGTGTCGGCCTGGTGGTCATAAGGTTAAGCGTTCATATGTGGGGACGAAGGTTTTCAGTCCGATTCCCTGGTCATGGATGAACATTGTCGCAGAGTCACAAAGTAGTACGAAACAGAAAAAGTTAAAATCGATTGATGAATCAAAACAGTGAAAATTGTACATACTTAAAAGACATGACGATTTTCATTCTTCACTTATCAATTCAATATACTGAAAGTCATTTTAAACAACCCAACCACATTTAAACATCAGTCTAACATTTCTACTTATAATATATTCACTAATGAGTTAGTTTATTAACATTGACCTGTTTGTTTTACTGAAATACTTTGGAATTTTCGTGTTATTGACTGATATAAAATGAAGTAAACAATCTTATGACTTATTTTCTTCGTTTGAAAAATTGGTTTTTACGAAAAAAATTGATACCTTGAACGCAAATCAATTGATTGAACCACTGAACAAAAAACCTTTGTATCGATTTGTAAATGAAACTTTGTTTAAATCTGTATTACGGGGTTGTTGTGAAGATTGTTAAATTTTATTTGAAACCATGAATCGATCATTGTTAGACAACCATTAGGGAAAGCTGGAAGCACTGAAAGACGATCGTTTCACCCTGGTATGGGACTCCTCAGCGGGGTTCAGGAGTTGTCGATGCGCACTGCTGAGGAGTCCCATACCATGACGAAACAGCCGTCCAGTGCTTCCAG